TTTTTATGTGATAAATCGTTATCACACATCGTTTGAAATTATTTCGTCCCAATACTTTGAATCGGAAAAACGCCATATGGAAACTTACAATGGCAAATGGCAAAACATGGTTATCATTTTTTTTGGGGGTTAAAAGTATCGCAAAACCAGCTTCAGTATGCCCTCTTAAACGTGGCATTAGCTGTGTCACATACACCGTCGTCGTCCACGGCAAGCGAGGTATGCGCCCCTCCACTTTTTGCCCGGTGCTTGGGTGGAAGAGCCCAGCCTGCCTGACATAATGGGTACCCACGGAGATAACTCCCTCCCTGCCTCGGCCGCGCGGTCATCGGACACACACAAAGCCGAGGAGGAGCAGCAGGGCCCCCATAGCCCGTGCCCGTGCTCCTCCCTGACCTTCAGCGGCAGCAGGGACTCCTCCACCGCAGCGCAGGCCTCCTCTCCTCCTATAGCACATCCGCGGTGGACATAAACCAGGCCCGTGGCCGAACTAAGTGGCACCTGCACAAGGCAACAAGCCCTTCTTCCTGAATTATAGTCTTTATTGCCACGGCAAAACGGACGGCGGGCCGGGGGTATAAATACACGGAGCCACGCCACGCCACGAGGACGCCACGGAGGAGCAGCTCGCCGCCGCCGCCCCCTCCTCCTGCTGATCCTCCTCCCCCTCCTCGATACTGCTCTTCTCGTCCTCGAACGAGACGGCGGGCGCGACATCAGCAGCGGCAGCAAAAGCGGCCAAGAGGGCCCTCCAGCAATGCGCCTTTATGGCTACTTTCGTTTTCCACCGCGGGGCTGCGCGCGGCTGGGAGACGACGACGACATGACCGCAGCCAGGCCAAGGAGGAGGAGGAGGAGGAGAGGGGAGCTTCCCGCCGCCTGCTGAACCCATAACGCAGTGACCCGGGCCCTGCTTGCGTCATCCGGTGCAACAACAAAACGAGTGCAGCATCGCTTTCTACCGATCCCTCTCCCACCACAAACCACCGACACCAACACATGCAACACGCCAAGAGAAGCGCGCACCGTCGCATGCGTTTGAGCTCTCGAACCCGCGACCTTTCGGGTAGCATGAGTGTGTGTGTGTGCGTGTGTGTTGCATGTAAGTTTGTGTGTGTGTGCGGATCGTGGCGTGGCGTCTTGACCTCGGCCATCGATCTGCCCACCGCGCGGCGCGCGCGACACAAAGCCAAGCTCCCCAACAGCGGCCAAGAGAGAGAGGGTCATGGTGGGCGGGGAGCCGGAGCAGGGGG